AAAGAGCATGAGTCAGGATAAGTATAAAATATTAATTTTATTCAGAAAATTACATTTTCCAGTACTCTCATTGAAAATATAAGGAGTACGTACTCCTGATGTTGAAAAATTATCTGGAGCCCTGGTTTAGGATGTGTCCAATGCAGCACCGAGACCATTTCCAGATTTCCCAGTTGTACAGGGAATTCCAGGTTGATCTGTTTGCATCAGGAGGGATGAATCGGCCTCTGACGCCTTCCTGCTGGACTGGATGGACAGGGTGGGTGAGTCAACATTGGTTTTGACCGCACTTTTTTCGCTACAAGAAGTTTTGTACAGTAACAGAATTTCCCTCTTCCCACGGACTTGGGATTCAGTATAAAAGTATGTATGTTGCACCTCCACAGGGGTTTTCAATTCTTTGAAGATAATTCTTTGAAGATATGTTATATACTGGACAAAATTAGTAAGGGATATTCGTAAATTTTGAAATTATGAATAATGATCTATTTATTCATTGACACACGGATAAAATATTAATCATAAAAATACCAATATCCCTAACTTATTTTGTCCAGTATATATGGGGTTACACTTTCTTAGTAAAGTGCAGATTCTAGTACTTTTTGGTTTGAGTCCCATCCGGGATTCGAACCCACACCCTCAGAGTCAGGCACCTAATTGCCAGCACACTAAGTCAGACGCATAGACCACTCAGCCACTGCGGCTTCCACAAAAATGGAAGTCGGACAATTGGTATTCTAGACTGCGGACTTTGAAGATAGTCTTCCGTGGGGTGGCACCACCCACCTCCCCACAATTCAGTTCTCTGATGTTGATAGTCAGCAGAAGGCATGATGAGATGGGACAGGGGTGCCTATGGCTATGTCTGCTCCAGTCAACATGTGCCTGTTGGTGACCTTGGAGCAACATTGGACGTATTGCAGGCCGTCAGGGCCAGATGTTGTTCTCCCTTAGTTGGTTCCGTACAGTCCTGGAACTGACTGGACGAAAGCCAGGAATATCCTAGCAGTCAAACTTGCCATCAGCAATCGATTCCTTAGATGGATCAGTCAAATGTGGTTGTCTTGCTGACATGACGTCACTGTCTGAGGCAAATCTCGTGTTCAACTATGTTGAAAACGTCTCCATAGAGATAAGATCATGTTTCGATGGGAGTCAGCATAAAGGTATATATGTTGTACCCCAAGGAAGACCTCTTCTGAAAAGAAAGTAGCCAAACCTGCAGGGGTTTTCAATTCTTTGAAGAGATTCTTCCTTGGGGTGACACCACCCACTTCCCTATCTTTTGGTGGCACCACCCACCTCCCCACAATTTGGATCGTCAGCAGAATGCATGATGAGATGGGTCAGGTGTGCTTATGACTACCTGCACAAGTTTCTTTATTATACAATATATTTTACTGAAACATTGTTACAACTGTCACCAGATATTTTCACCAGCACAAAATGCATACATGTACCCTAATGAAGATTCTCTTCAAGAACTGAAAACCCGACAAAATTTATACATTATCCATATATATTCAGTATAAAAATCTACAATATTTTGTGACAGAATAAGATATATAATTCACTAACATATGATGATAAAATATAGAATGTACATATGCTCCCTGTGAAGATCCTGGCTAGAATTGGTCTTCAACCACCCATGCTTGTCGTAAGAGGCGACTAATGGGATCGGGTAGTCAAGCTTGCTGACTTGGTTCATGGTTGACACATGCCATCGTATCCAAATTGCGTAGATCGATGCTCATGCAGTTGATCACTGGATTGTCTGGTCCAGATTAAATTATTTACAGACTGCAGCCACATATCTGGAATATTGTGGCATAAAACATCAGACAAACCAAACCAAACCAAAACATGGAGTCCAAGACAAATATGAACATTTCAATGCTTTCCCTGTAGGAGATACCAGTGAGTACAGCTTGTTCAGCTTGACCTGATCAAGTGAATACTAATGCATTGCGTGACCGCGTCACAACTGGTTGGGTCTATTATTGTGAAGGGGTGCACCTTTGTCCGTTGATTGTCAACATGTCCGAACAGCTGAGACAAGGTCGCCGTTTGACATCTCAGTGTCGAGAAATTGTCCTAACTTTCTTTAAAAGAAGCTACAGATGGTTTAATGTTTCCGATTCGGCTTTAGGCAGCGAGCAGCAGCAGCAACTGGTGTTTCCAGTACAACCCTAGGCTGAATAGAACTAGAACAACATTCTCTGCTCCCCTATTTAATGAACTCAACCTGCCGTTTGTGCCATTTGACCTCCCGGGTCATGCATATGTAGAGTAGCTCAGGTCAAGCTGAACAAGCTGTCGTTCCCTACTGCTGTATTCAATAGCCTACATGAATAATACATAGATGAAACACACTAGCTGACATTTAACATGTTAACACAATAACACACCCAGCCTATTAATAATCATTTGCATATATTACATTTGAATCTGTAACTTACAAACACTATTTAGAAAAGCTTAAAAGAGATTCTGGAAGTAAACGATAATTACACATTTGTTGGAAATAATATTCTTTGGTGGTAGTTTATGGTCATTTAGCTCACTTCATGAAGATTAAAGTAAAAATATATAACCTATGTTTATATTACATGCATTCGGTATATTTAATAAGACAATTATAAGATACTGTATCATTTCACTGCAAAACAATATGTAGATTATGGAGATTTAACTAGCTCATGTAAGGTGGTGACTTTCATTGTGATGATCAGTACATGTCTGTCAAAAAAGAATGAGTGAGTATGGTTTTACGCCGCTTTTAGCAATATTCCAGCAATGTCACGGTGGGGCACACCAGAAATGGGCTTCACACATTGTACCCATATGGGGAATCGAACCCGGGTCTTCGGCGTGACGAGCGAACGCTTTAACTGCGGAAGTAAGCATGATGATCAAAGCATACATTGTAATGACAGGTTAACAAAGGTGTTAGCTTGGCCAATCAGCATGGAGCTTCTGGGGCAGGTAGTAGGTCACATTAAGTAAACATGCACTGTTGAAACTGAAGGAAACTAACAACTTACAATATACAACTTACATCAAGGTTTAGATGCAGTAATTTTAATACGGCTGTTGAATGTGGCAGGTATAATGGAATTGAATATAATGAAAGGCTATGTCCTTTTTTGTAAAGCCAGACGCCAGCATTATATAGAAAATGAATATCATGTACTATTTATTTGTAATGCCTACGATATACTTAGAACGAAATATATAACAAAGTTCACTAAAGAATCACCTACTCATTACTCTGTCGTAAATCTTTTGCAAAGCAAAAATGATGCTGTCATATACAATGTTGGATATACTTATACAATGTACAGAAATTGAGAAACTCCAGGACATAGAGCTGCAGAGTTGTTTTACGCGACCACTAAACACAGTGTCAGTCTGATTGTATTATGGGCGAGGGTCTCTTTACTGAATAAATACTGTCTGTCTGAAACTAAGAACTTACTGTATGTAGTAAATATATGTAATAATCAAAAATTGATTAAAAAGATTGTTGAGAAATTCATTAAAACAAATATATACATACAGTTCATTATCTTGATAAAGGATATAATCAATTTTGTTCTCCGAACATGGGACGGGAGTTATTGGGATAGATGTTTAACACTCAGTAGGTTGATCACACACACAATCAGTCAAGCAACCATTGTATCCACCAAAATGTCAGTTGTATTTTTACAATGTAGTGTTACACTGTCTTAGAATACCCCAGGGAAATTTTTCAGTAGATTTTGACTTCTATGGTTAATGACCTGTCCTACTCACAGTTTGATATTGATGGACATGGGGAAACAGGTGTATGGGGATATTCTTGATAGCCATTGAAGGACAAATATGTAAAACATGTGAAAACATGGCCGCATGGAAGAGTGGTATTATTTTACACCTCTGACATCAGTCACCCAGTCACAGGGGGCCAAAAACAGGTCTCAGGTGTACCCTTTAGTTACACGTGTTGTCTGGGTTAGACTTGGTCTCCAGTAACCCATGCTTGTCATAAGAGGCGACTAACGGGATCGGGTGGTCAGGCTCGCTGACTTGGTTGACACATATCATCGGTTCCCAATTGGTAAGATCAATGCTCATGATGTTGATCACTGGATTGTCTGGTCCAGACTCGATTGTTTACAGACAGCCGCCACATAGCTGGAATATTGCTGAATGCAGCTTTAAACAGTAATCAGTCAATCTAATTGATTCCATAGTGAGCATGTCAGCTTGTTGAAGGGGTCCGATTGGGCCTATGATTTAAATTCCAGTACAGGACTGAGACGTTTATGGACGCTACCTTGATACCCAACGTGTGGCTGAGCATGCTAAAATTGAATTTGAGCAGAATATCTCAGTACCCCTCTCTGTGGCCAGGGACATGCCTTCTGTTGGGGGGGTTTGTAGCAGAGCAAGGTGGCATAACACAGATTATGTGGTTAACATCTTTGGTGATGTGGACAGGGTGTCTGAGTTCGAATCCCATAATGGAACTCAGAACTTTCATGGTTGCTACAATAGCATGGCCTGATAGTCAGCCACAGACCTATCCCATGTAGTACCAGTCTATCAGCAATATAGGAGATCTTTCTTGGAAGCAGAAGTTCAGTCAGTATGATAATGGTGCATATATATAGAGGATATTTTGTTAATGTTGTCAAGTAACCTGTATATTTCATCGAGTGGTCTGACAAAGTTGATATGTTCACAAGTGGTCTGGCTCGATGACTTGGTTGGCACATGTCATCGGTTCCTAATTGCGTAAATCGATGCTCATGCTGTTGATCACTGGATTGTCTGGTCCCGACTCGATTATCTACAGACTGCTGCCATATAGCTGGAATATAGTGCAGCTTAAAACCCAACTCACTCACTCACTCACTCACTCACTCACTCCAAATGCTACTGAACATGCCTTTGTTTGCTACAAATGTTTCTAAGGTTGATTGTAAACCAATGACTTCATGATGCAGGAAGTTTTGACCAGTCTCCGAATCTGAGTGATGTTCTGTGCGGGTGGGCGGAGTCGAACCTGGTCCGCCAGCCCCGGAGCAGTGAAGAGGAGGAAGATCGTCTCCGTGAGACATTGGCCGACGCCATGGTGGAATCTCCTGTCAAAGACTGTGGACCCACCAGCATGAGGGAAGGTGAGTTTCCATGGTTTCAACACTTACAGAATTTCATTTAAGTTATTATTTCTTTAGTTTGGCTGAATGTTACTGTCAGCAGTATTTTTGTTACATTAAACTGTGGACATCAAGACATGATTTCAGACATTCTATTTGTTTGAGGAATATAGGTATAATGAAAAAACGTTCCAGTAGGAATGTGGTTTTCCTGTTTCGATGGTCAAAAAGTTCTTTAAAGTCCAGACAACAAGAAATGAATTGTTGTAATTTTATGTCTGAATTGCATCATGACTAACACCTTGGACCCAGTTGGGGATGGTCCCATCTTCTAAGGTGACAGAAGTTTCTTGGCAGAGTTGCTTACTTGCAATGCCAGAAACCATGGGTCCGAATCTAAGCATCACCATGGCAATGTTTCTGTCTGTTTGTTGCTTAACGCCTTACTCAGCAATATTCCAGCTATATGGCGGAGGTCTGTAAATAATCCGGTCTGGACGAGACAATCAAATGACTGATTTTTCCATTTAAATAGTGTCCTGAGACAATCCAGTGATCAACAGCATGAGCATTGATGTATGCTTTTGGTATATGAGCCTGACCATCCAATTCCGTTAGTGTTCTGACAAACATGGGTTCCCGAATTCTAACCCAGATCTTCACAGACCATTATATTAGTGGATGTATCAGCACATACTCATTTGTGATGCCAGTTAAGATTAAATCATTACGTTAGGTTAAATCCTTACTTCGGCCCTTTCTGTGACATATAGGTGACTGAGTACCCTTGTTGTTGTAAACCAACCACCCTCACTCTTGACCCAATCACTGTTTTGCACTGATTTATATGACATGGTACAAAACAAATTATCTTGGAACCAATGATTGACATGATTTCAGACGTTAAAGGATATGCCTAATTTTGCTGGGGGAAAAAAAAATGTTTATTTTTTTTCAATATTTGTTTAAGACAGATTTGTAAACATCTAAATTTGAAAAAAGCCCCCAAAAAAAACCAAACAAACCACACACCCCAACAACCCCCACCAACCAACCAACCAACCAACCAACCAACCAACCAACCAAACCAAACCAAACCAAACCAAACCAAACCAAACCAAACCAAACCAAACCAAACCAAACCAAACAAACAAACAAAAACAGCAAAAATAACAACAACAAAAAACAACAAAACAAAACCCAACCAACAATCCCCCATAAAATATAAAAATAAAACGGTTAAAGTTATGGAATATCTTAGGCAGTTGTTGTGAACTCAGAGATGACTTGCAGATGAGATCATTAATCCATATATTCCCAAACTGTAAGTGAGCTCTTTGCATAATTTGTAAAAGTTTCATTTGGGTTTGGGTTTGGAAGAAATAGCCTATATACTATTCTCCTGTACACAATGGATTTGAACTCTTGTTGTTCCACTCACACTGAACTTTTTGTTGTTGTCAGAGACAGGCAGAGTTACTTCCCTTACACCTCATCCTTGCAGCATCTCAGATGATTTCTTCAGAGTGTTTTCGAATTAACTTAAGGCAGACAGAATAAAAACTAAAGTTATATTATTTAACCCAAAGAAATATATCCTAGCATTGTGTAATGTTAATTACAGTTTTTGCTCTATAAATTAATTAAGATTAAGATTACCGTGTGTATTTGAGCCGGAAATAGCAATCAGCAGCGAACAAGCTCAAACATGCACAATAATATAACGGGACGAATATTCTGACGCAGTCGTCAGTAAAATATAATACAGAGTACTATTATTTAACCCAAAGAAATATAACCTAGCATTGTGTAATTTTAATTACAGTTTTTATGTCAAATATATATAATCAACACTAAGGTTATACAGACCCTCATGAACGTGGTAAGCAGAAGTTGTATGCACATGGAATGGGGTAAAATACGGAAGCCATTTAAATTCACACATTTTTACCGATGTTACTGTAAACTAGCAGTCAATAGAAAACGAGGCGGTAATCAGTTCGTGATTGTTGAATGGGGTAAAATAAGCAAGCCAGTTTGTTGCTACAATAAATATGATATTTAGAGAAACAAAATATATTATGCATTTTCTGTCATCTACACTTCGTTTCGATCCGTGAGTAGACACAATATATATGCAGTGTAGGAAAGATAGCCCATCCCAACGTCCGAGAGGGGTGAATTTTGTGGAGGACGGGTTAAAAGCCCGTCCCAACGTCCGAGAGGGGTGAATTTTGTGGAGGACGGGTTAAAAAAATATCTAGTCCGTCCTCATGTCGGGTCAATTTTAGCAAACCAATGACATATATATAATGATTATAACCATTTTGAATATTTACTGCCGAAGGTGTTTTATTTATATTTGGAGGACAGGCTAGATTTTGGCAGGACTGGTAAAAAATTTGACCTGCCAGTCCTGTGGACAGGCTAGATTTTCTACATCTTTCCTACACTGATATATGATTGTGAATTCTTTGAATAATGTGGACCAAAGTTATAATTATTGGTAACTGCCAGTTGTCTGTTGTCTGTGTTTGCCGCGATTAGGACCCCATCGCGGGGGATCAACTTATGCACGAAACATACCATTTTGACACTGATTTTAAGGGTCAAGTTTGGGGGTCGTCTTTCCATGGGGTCGGCTTATAGACGGTAATATACGGTATTCAGTATCTGCATATGCAATATGCACTATGTCGATTTTTCTTCTATTCACATATTTCTCAGGTTTTTACTGTTTTATTCAAAGAATATTGTTGACCTAAGGCTATAAGGAAAGTAATTCTCACAGGGCATTGTAATTATGTATGGGTATAGAACCAAATGCTTTTAGTCTCCCCACACTTGCTGTAAAATTGAGATTTGGTCAATAAGATTGACCAGTAAGATTTTTTTTATTTTCTTTCTTTGTTGACCTGGTCATTTGTTCAAGCACTGATCTAATTGGTCCAGACTCTATCGATTATAGAGTTCACTCACTCACCCACGTCATTTTTCAGATTTTCCTATCCAGGTTGTTATTGCAGATATGTATAACATGATTCAACTTGCTACTTTAAAGTGATGACTTATATATCATGAACATAAACATTCTGGAATCTTCAAGAAATATTCAGTCATGGCTTTTCAGTTAGTGAAGTGAGTTTTCTAAAAATTAAACACGTTTTCAGGCACTGACAACTTCAAAGATATGTTCCATTGTCAAGTACTTCAAAGACTAAAAAAGTAGTTCAAAAATCGTTTATGTTCGATTATGAGAAAATCGATGGCTTGGTCGTTTGGTCACTGTGACCAATCTTCGATTATTTCAATTAATCGGACCACCACTACAGTACAGTCCAGAAAGTTTCTGATTCAAGTTACAGCTTCAGAACAAAAACTAGTCATTAATATCAATCTTGTACAAGCTTCCTATGATTTCTGAGAAAATATGCTCTCATCGTTTTAAGTTTCCAAAGAAATAAGCTGGTTCCAGAAATATACAGTTTCAATATGAGATTCTGTTAATGTTATTAACGTACGGCTGAAAAGGCTAACGAGAATATGGCTGAAAGCAGAAGCTGAGATATTCCTGATTCTGTTTTACTCTAGATACATGTCTTCATGCATAAGGGATAATGGTGTTACATTGGAAGTTTACATATTTAGGTGTCAAATATCATACTTCTCCAATTCTTATTTTTATAGAGTAATATCTTTATATTGCTGAGCCATGTATAAAGTTAACTGTGTGCTAGCATCAGCTGTTTATTATTTGAAATATAACTCCCTCCCTCTAAAAACAGAAAGTAAAGATAAAGGTTATAATATCAACATAAGCTGTTTTCAATGTATATAAAACAATTCTAAAAGAAACATGAGAAAACTCACCAGTTGTGTTCTAATTTCCAACTTTCTGTTTATGCTGTATGATATGCACCATTAGATGGTGGGTTAGCCCCATGGTTAGACCATTCACTTGTTACATCAAAGCCGAGGTTGGATTCATCACATAGGTACAAGGTACCGGTACCTATTTCTTCTAATCTGATATGGCTGGAATGTTGCTGAAATTGTGTAAACATAATCACAGTTAAAATTTTTTTGCCCATTTCTGTTCATCACAAAGCGGGGCAATGGGGTAGCCCAGTGGTTAAAGCGTTGGCTCGTCACGCCGAAGACCCGGGTTCGAATCCCCACATGGGCACAATGTTTGAAGCCCATTTCTGGTGTCCCCCGCCGTGATGTTGCTGGAATATTGCTAAAAGCGGCGTAAAACCAAACTCAGTCAGTCATCACAAAGCAGTTTGTTTTAAACTTTGTTTCATATTCTTTTATTTATCTTTTCAACATTGTTCACTGTTTCATTTCGTTTTCAAATATTCTGACAGTTTATTTTTACCATCACCTCAAACATGAAAATCGTTTCTGGAAGAGCTAAACTTGAATTACCTTTTACTTGTAATCATTTTGCAGTGATTTTTTTCCATTAAAACAGAATAAATGTCATTTTCCACAAGAAGTGTTTAATGCTTTTAAACTAGGCTTGGGCACATAAATTTTGCACTTTTGAAATTTCATCTGCCCGAGGTGTATTTTGCAGCCAGTCATGATAACTGTTTTCTGCTCAGTTGGGTTTAATTAAATCGGCAACAAGACAACTTTAATTTTGATCATTTTCCGTGATGAGAGTTAATGTGCTCGGAATCACCTTGGTTTAGTTGAAGGTGACCTGCTGTGTACTGGGTGCGTTTGAAGTGTACCAACCAAACATGTCGTTAAACACAGGTAGTTGAAAGAATGCTACAAGTCCTGGGTCGTATCTGACCTGAGCTGTCTCATCATTAACTTCCATCTCGTGAGTGACAGAAAATGTACGCCTGTCATTTTCACTTTATGTTTTCCTGCGTTGAAACGAGCGCTGATGATTTCCCCATGTTTGTTAATTCTGAAATTACCACTTATAGTTCAGCATTCATTAACCCGCGCAATCCTTTGCTTTGTTCCAAAGTTTATGAGCCGTGGGTTACAAAGCACGCAGG